ATAAGTTCTTAATAAAAAAAATTTCCTAGTTGCACTCTGTTTGGAAAACCCCACTTTCGCCAATTTTTCATAAATAAAATAAAAAACTATGCCTAGAAAGCAATGGCAGACCCACAGAGGGTCCATCGTGACAATTCTCCACAAGTTTTTCTTATTATTTTTATCAAGTATATAGTTTTCTAATTAATTTTTCTAAGGTTAATTAAAAAGGAAGTTGCATTTTGTTTGAGAAAAATCCACTTTCGCCTAACGGCAGGTTTACAGATTCCCACAAAAACAAAAAGCATGCCTAAAAAGTAGTGGCAAGTCATAGAGAGTACAATGGGACAATTTTTCACATGATTTTCTTATTATTTTCAGTAAGTATATATATATTCCTTTTTAATTGACTTGAAATAATTAATTAAAAATTTATATACTTACTGAAAATAATAAGAAAGTCATGTGAATATATATATATATATATATACACACACATACATATTTACACTCTTAATATGTATATATATATTTTCTTTTTCGGTTGAAATCTACTTGAGAAACCCAATTTTAAATTTACAATTTTTAAAAAATAAATAAATAAATAAACCTCTGAGGGTCTCCACTGAACTTTCTTATTATTTCCATTAAGTATGTATAATTTAATTAATTAAAAAGATATATATACACACACACACACACTTTTTTACATTTTTGCAGTCTTATTATTATTATTTTCTTTTTTCAGTTGCACTGTTTGAGAATCCCTTTCCCTGTCATCAAATTTACAATTTCTCAAAAAATAAAATATCAAAAGTATGCCTAAAAAGTAGGTGGGAGCCATAGAGGGTCTAGTGGACAGTTCTGCACAAGACTTTCTTATTATTTTCATTAAGTATATAAATTTTTAAGTTAATTAAAAAGAAAAATATATATTTATATATTTACAATGTTTTTTCTTTTTTTCTTTCCAGTTTTTTACAATTTTTCATAAAGAAAATAACAAAAGTATGCCTAAAAAAAGCAGTGGCAGAGTCAGAGAGGGTCCAATGGGACAATTATTTAACTTTCTTATTATTTTCTTTGAGGCAGTCTACAGTAGGAAGGAAAGAAGAGGTGTGGAGAGAAAATATAAAAGAAGGAACGAACTTTGTTTGTTCGCTAGAAATGCTATAAGGAAAGAAGGAGAATATGAAAGATGACACGTCCTTTCTCCTTCACAAATTTTTATAGACCAAAAATGAGCGAAGAAATGAGGAAGACAAATGGACTATTATAAAAGTTTTAAATTAAATAATATCATATATTATACAAGTTTTAAATTACAGTACTATCTTCTATAAATTACAATATAATAAATATTATTGGATATAATGGTAAAAACAATTAAAACTTTATTTTTCCTTATTATTTTAACGAACATAATAAATTATGAGCTCTACTCCCTTCTCTTCTATCCAACCGAATAAAAAGAAAGAAATATACAATCTCTTCCCGTTGTCTCATCTATCCATTCTTCTCTCCCTTCCATTGAATTTTTTTCTTTCCTACCAAACCGAGCATAAGTATATAAAATTTTAGTTAATTATTTAACATTAATTAAAAAGGAAAAAAATCTATGTACATAAACACGCTTAATCTTTATTATTTATTTTTTCCAGTTGCACTTTGTTTTTTTTATTATTATTATCCTGGCAATGGTTAGTAGTTAGTTGGGGAAGGGGCAATCGAACCTAGCATCGATAGGGTGTGGGACACTTTTGGCTTGACCCTTTTACTACTTGGACAACACGGTTACACCTAGTTGCACTCTATTTTGAAAAACCCTACTTTCACTTGTTGGAAAGTTTAAAATTTTTCATAAATATATTAACAAAAGTATGCTTAAAAAGGACATTTCTCCACAGGATTTTTAAAATTTTTCATAAATATATTAACATAAGTATGCTTAAAAAGGACATTTCTTCTTATTATTTTCATTAAGTAAATAAATTTTTAATTAAATATTTCAAATTAATATATATATATATATACATACACATACTTTTGTAGAGAACTGTCCCGCCACTGTTTTTTAAGGCATACTTTTATTAGTGCAAAAAGGAGAATTGCGTTTGCCGGGAGTCGAACCCGGGTCTATTGCTTGGAAGGCAATTATCCTAACCGTTGGACTACAAACGCAACGGTGCTGGATTTTCCCAATGGTTTTATTCATTGACTAGTACTGGAACGATTTCTGCCAACTATTTCGAAGAATCGGAAAAAAGAAATCCAACTATATTTTTTTTTAGGTGTTAGTGATGTCTTAAAAACATTTTACCGAGAGTGAGAGCATGAACCCTCCGCGTCTAACTAATAAAAATATATATATATATATTAAATGATTAACTTGACTTTTCACACATGCTAAAAAAAATTGTCATACACAATTTTATATTTATGGACAAATTGTATAAAACTCTCGTTTACTTTTAATTTATATTTTATAACAAGAAACCTCTTACCGAATTTTTTTGACATAAAACTCCTTAACTATTCAATATGTTGTAAAGTGATGTTATTCTTACGGAAAAAAAAACTCTTTAACATAAATTTAAGAAATAGGATTCTCTTAATATAAAATTACAATTAAAACAAATAACTCATTCAGCATATTGGTGTTTAAATTTTCTGAAACTTTTTTTTAATGGTGTGTCTATAAGAAATTGAAAATACTATGGAACAATTTATAATTTTTTTTTAATCTCTTTATATAAAAAATAAAAAAATAATAATAAAAAAAAGAACAAAATGAAATTTATTTCAAGACAACCTAAATTTTCTCAAATTTGCATTAGAGGGCATTTTCGTATTATAACTTCACTTTAATGGTGTATATTCAAGGACGGATCTAGGAATTCATATGAAGGGGGACAAATTTATATAGAGGGATTTTTTCATAATTTCAGTGTAGCAATTTTAAAATTTTATGGGTATAAATGCAAAAAAATATATATAAATTTAAAGGTATAAAATATAATATAAAAAAATTTCAGCTGAGCCCTTCACAGATTCGTCCTTGTGTATATTTAAAATTTTTTTTTTCTTAAAGTTCTACTTTTAAAAAATTATTAAAAATTTATATTGAAAGGAATTTAAATCATTATAATATCACTTTACAACAAACTAGATACTTAAAATATTTCCAATAGTATGTTAAAATATTCTTTTGTGTAAAATATGTACTGTCACGTTTGATGTATAATTTTTTTTTTTTAATCTCTAGCAGTTTGTTAAAATATACTGCCACATCACTAATATTTCTTATTCCATTAACGAATCAACACTATATTAAGAGCCGAGCTTTATGGGGACTTGAAACGGGCTTCCAAACTCAATAAGGCCTTCCTAAAAAAATGGTAGTGTTTGGTGAAATAAAAGAAAAGGAATTCTAACCAACGTCAAAGTCTTAGGAAGTTCGTTCAAGCGAAGCGTCAAAAACTAGCTTCTGAAATTTGTCTCTCGGGAAGCCAGCGTAATTTTAAGTAACAAATTTTATGAACAAATTTGCCCCCTTTTATTTCGTAAAACTTGTTGATCTAATGCCCTGTAAACCATGAACAAGAACAAGAGAGTTGTTTGGATTCTTTACTCCAATTCAAATTCCAACACTAAAATACTTTTCCTGTTTAAGCCAGTTCCTGAGAATTTTTTGATAAGTCACAATTATTCAAATATTCTACTTTTATAATTTTTAAGTCAACTTTAAGCTTTTAATTTTCAATTTCTACGTTTTGAAATCCTAGCCCCTCTTAAGGTATTTTTCCCTGTGAATTGGCGCACACTATTCTTTTTCTTGTCACATTGCCGACAACCTCTAAAGAAGTTTGAGAGTAAAACTTGATTTATGAGTGAAGAAATATTCAATTTCTCAAATATGTAATTAACATTCCATCTTCAATAATTGATGAGCATGACAACAATGGAGGCTATCTTCTTTATTTTTTCGTGTTTTTTTTTATTTTTTTATCTGCTATCCTCACTTCATCACTTTTATTATCTCTTTATCTATTTTTATAATTTTCTTTATTCTTGCTGTATGTCAATATTCTTAGGGTAATTATCAAGAATAAAATTATCAAGTTAAAACTATATTAATTGTTGAAAGGAATTTCAAAAAATACATCCCAAACAACTTTTATCTTCTAAATACATTCCATTGAAATGCATTCTTCTTCAAAGGCATTTAAATAGAAGGAATTTTAGAATCAAAAAGTCCCTCCAAATAGGATTTAAGTATGTTTATAAAAATTATGTAGGGTCCAGATATGACACTGATTAGTTGTCGCTGAAACTAAAAATAAATAATTTAAATTTTTTATATAAACTTATCATGAAACATCTAATTTATATAAAATATACACATGAAGATGCTCTTTCCCGTCAACATTTTTCTTTAGAGTCTTTTTTGTCAAAATAAAAAATATAGGGGTACTTTATGCGCCCTATATTTATATATTAGATAAAACTTGAAAAGCTGTAACTCAAAACATCAGCTGTCACATCGGCCAACTTTCATCCGTGAATTAACGGGAACGGTTACAGAGGGACATATACTGACGATATAAATACAAAATGTGCAGCTTTATGACCAACAACTACCTGATAAAACTGATACTTTTTGACTCGTTCTTTTTATATTTACCCAGAAATAGAAAAAAAGAAAAAGAAAAAAGAAAACCAATAACTTGGTTCTTATGGCAAAATAAACCTGCCCTTTTCAAAATAATAACAGTGCCTAGAGAAAGGATTGGCTTGGCAAATTTGGGAAATGCCCTTTTCAGTGTCAGTTATAAACAAGCAAAATACACTTTTAGAGGGTTGACAAATAATAGGGAAGAAACAAACAAGCCCTTACAACCTCCCTTCTCGTAACGATAAATAACATTTTTTTTTTTCCCCAAAGAAATTTCTAGTAAAGTATTCATGAAAAAAACACACATCATTCTTCCAATTCTATACCATAAAAGTGCAATAGCCTCTCATGCAAAGTGAAAATATCATTGGCTTGTGTGTATCGACCACATTTGCTAGATTTTTTACCCCAAAAAAGGGCTGAGTCAATTCCAACAAAATTACCCTTCCCCAAAATTCTAAAGATCAAACTAACGATACAACAATACAAGGATTACAGCATCAACTTTGTAAGTTGCTGGAGCCCAAGTAATTATACAATGGCATTGTGTTGCTTTGAGAAAATTTCAAGCAGCAGGAGCATATTCCTGAATTGCTGCTGCCAGTTTATTCCGATCTTCCTCGTTCCTCATCCTTATTAAGAAAGTACGTGCCACAACACTATTATTGTCGCAATTATCACTGTCGCCCTACAAGAACCAAATAACCAGATTTAATATCATAAAAAAGAAGGTGAAAAGCTGATAAATTTTTTTTAAAAAAGCACTCCTCCACAATCGGCAGAATTTGTTGGACTAGAGGATTACAGATAAAAATGAAATTTTCTCATTTTGCAATCCAAGAAAACTAATACGAATTATTTCTTTATAACAAAAGGGCATAAACTAAGAATGGTACACGGATAACAGAAATACAAAATGGTGTCACATTTTAAAATACCAAAATATTTATATAAATAAAATGTTCACAAAACAGAATTATTACATAGTGCTCAAACACGTTAAATAATTAGAATCATTGGGCAGGTTAAACAGTAGACCTAGAAATTCATAAGGAGGCCATGGTAAAATCCCATCAGTGCATTTATATTAAATCATTTATTTCTTTCTGCTACTAGACATAAACTCCTTCAACTCCCAAAAGAAAGTAGGATGTTAGATTCTGAGTGGAACATCAGTTACTACAAACATTAAGAGTAAGCTAAAGCCACCAAAAGAACTATAAAAAAGAATGCATTAGAATATATTCAGCTAATGTGTCTTACCGAAGTATGAAATATGGCTACAATTGAATTTTTCTGAATACTTGTCTTGATGTTTGGATATAACAATGCATTAAGCAACACTTTTCCCACCTGCAACAAGGGGAACGATAGGGTAATTATTACTTAATATGAACTCAAGTTCTTGTGTACATATAACATACTACCAAAAAAAAGATTGCAAAAGGGAAAATAAGAAGAAAAAAACAATAATAATATTTTTTAATGCATCCTTGAGTGGTTGAAATAAAACCTTTCTTTTACCGCATTGCTGGAAGGAAGTTTATTAAAGTATGTTCCACCAAAAAGAAGGGAAAAGAGATACAAGGACAAGAAAAATGCCACAAAAAAGAAGGGAAAAGAGAGCCAAGGACAAGAAACATACTGATAAGAGCTTTTACCAAAGTCCATAAAAGTAAAACTAATTAACTGCTGACAGACACAATTAGGCCATTTGTTATGATCTCACTTCATATTGGAACAAGAAGAACATGCTGCTTTTTTCCAAATACTATAGCTTAATACCATTGCTTATCTTGGAAAAGGAACTCCATTTTCAAACTAATAAAAATGAGTATATATATAAAAAATAAAAAAAAAGTTAATACGCAAGGCCCATCAAAATCCCATATTCAATTAAATCGTTTAGCTTATCATGAGTCAACATAGAGCTAATAAAAACAATAATAATTCCAGAAAGCAACACAGTAATAAGCAGGACACCAAAAATACTACAACTACAGTTATATCAGGTGTTCTGGCGGGATGGGGGAGGTGAACAAAATGTTTCATAATTAGCCTTACAGCTTCTCTTCAAACTCCTAGAAGCGTTGCACCACTCATCTGGAGAAACTGATGATTCCTTATTTATTTATTTTTTCCCGGATCATTCCAAAGCAATGACATGGTGCTATTATACAAGAGCACAAACTCATAGGTTATATAAGTAACTATTAAAAAGTCATTCTTTCCAGACTTTACTGTTCCTCACACAAGGCATCATCTCCAAGTTGCTCAAAAACTCCATGGTTCATAGTGTTCCGGCAACTACAATCATTTAAATTTATTTCTCCTCTAATTTTCCTCCCAATTCCATTAGTTATAAGAAAGAACCCTGATAACTATCCCTGAATAACTAACAACACATAGACAGTCCAATTGTGATGCAGAATCTGATCAATAGGATCACTGAAACTATTCACACTACATAATGGACAGGAAAACGATTTGATAACTTCACTTTCCAAACAATGCATTAATTGAGAAAAGAAAAGAAAATACTATCTAAATTATCAAGATTTCAAGCTAAACTCAACTTGTGGAACCAAAATGTCAGAAGCAAACATACATCATTCCGAACAAGAATTGTTGGTTTGGATTCTTTTGTGCCCTTGCTGACACCCTCTTTACATTTGATGGAAAGCTGACCTGTGCCTTTATCTTTCCATGCATCTTTATCTGCTGGGTCACTTGACTGGACAAAATAGAAAAAGGAAAAACAAGAACTACTCAGTAAGAAAATCATATCAAATGCAAGTAGGCAGATGATAGAAAAAGGAAAAACAAGAACTAACCAGTAAGAAAATCACATCAAATAACATGATGCAACTAGGCAGATGATATGTCAAAAAAATAGAAGTGTGATACATTGAAAACCCAACCGCGTCTCATTGTGCTTGCCTCTCTCTCTCTCTCTGTGTGCGTGTGTGCGTGTTTGGAAGAAATTTAGAGTGGTCTAAGCTTAACAACTTCTACTCGAGGAATTATAGCATTTTTTTTTTTTGATAAGTTTAATTAATAATTTAAGTAAATAATTATTTACCAATACTGACGGAGTGGGGATTTGAACTTGGGCCTTTGGCCACAAGCAACACATGCCCTACCACTGGGCTATCACACCATTTCCGAGGAATTATAGCATTTCAGCAGCATAGGCATCTGCATGGGCAGTGGGGAGGAATGTAGTGCATGAGCAACACTGTCCGGGTTATGCATGCATATTGTTAGAGCTGAATGTGTGGCTGATTGGTTTTATGCAAAGGTACCTTACCTTTAATCTTCCTCATAATACAAATTAACCTTGTCTGTTGTCTGTCTTAAGTATTTTTGTGCCCCATATCACTGTAACATAGATTTGGACAAAGGGAATCAGTATCAATTATTGCATGCTTGATTGGAGGTAATCTTTGCACTGTCTAAATTCTCAAGGGGTAGGCTAGCAGCTGTCATGCCATTACATGTGTAAAAACATGCTTATGTACAAAGCACACAATACATTTATGCATGCGTGGTATTTGTCTACATAAGATTTGTGTGTGCACGCGGCATGCGTGATTACACACATACAAACAAAAAAGAATATTTATTGCTTAAAGGCTTGCATGCTGGCGGAGCATGAGTGCGCGCACACAGAGAGAGAAGAAAGAAAGAAAGAAAACTTATAACAGAGGTTGGCAATATAATCTTCACATTCTTAACAATGCTAATTGCATGCAAAAACTACAAATGAAATAAGAGATGTGATTAAAATATTACTCATTCAAACTACACTGTGTTTTGGGATATAAATGACAAAAAAAAGTAATCTTCTTATCTATTAAATACAATAACTAAGAATGTCAATTATTGGTAAACACAAAACTCGAGTAAAAAATAAGAAAAATTATGTACCATCTCAAAGAATGATATCACATAAATTCTCATTAATAATTACCTTCACATAAAGCTTGCATTTGACTTCATGTACTACCTTAATACCCTCCTCTTCAGTCTTCTTTACAGATGGGCTGCTAGGTCGTTCCCCATCATCTTCTGATAATCCAAGAGAATATAAGTAAAAGGAAAATAAATACACAAGTAAACAACAGTCGCCCATTGCAGACAATATTTTCTTATCATTGAAATATTTTAGCTAAGTTTTCTAAAGCAGCTCAAATCTGAATAAGTTCACAAAACATTCCAGCTTTCAGAATTCTATGAATGTAAGGACAAAGGAATAGTCTTATGAATGTGAGGAAAAAGGAATAGTCTTATAAAATGTGAGGAAAAAGGAATGGTCATTTCACTAAAGCGAAGCAAACTTTTAGTGGTCTACATGCCACGAACAAGGATGGAGGACCACCATAAGTTTCACATTAAACTAAAAGCGCAATCCTTCTGTAAAAAGGCACCCTCTCGTTGGAAAAAAAAGGGAACAGCCAAATAATGAAATTAAAGTATAATAAGATTGACCCAAGCCTGTAAGGAATATAAGAATCTATGGTGGCATATAGCTCAATTCCTTCATTTACATCACAAACCCTATTTCTCAATAAAAAAAAATGAGAGAATTTTTTTTTAAAAAAACCCATAAACTCAAAAATTGGATTTATTTTCTTTCATCAGTTCAGAAAGAGTTACAATCAAGATCCACAAATAGGCAACAAACTAACAACCAAGGTCCAAGAGGTTACCACCCTAACAACATAGTAATTCAACATATATATATATATATATATATATATATATATATATATATATATATATATAAATGAAATTAAAATGTTCGTAACAACATTTTTGGTTTAATCACATAAACATCACCATAATCATCATCCTAACCTTTATTCCTATGGATGGAGTCAGTCACATTCATTCTCTTTTTTTCTATTCTTTCCAATTATACACCATGTCTACTATAATATTTAATTTTTTTAAATCATTTTTAATTAGTTCATCTCATGTAAATTTTGGTCTGCCTCTTTGTCACTTACCTTCTAGGCAAACAATTCTATCTCTTCTAACAGATGCATCTTCATATTTACGTTGAATATGACCATGTCTCCTCCAATATTAACGTTGTCTGTATCAACGTTTTTAGTTTAATCACATCATCATTATCATCCTTGACTTTATCCCATACAGATGGGGTCGGCTACACAAATTCTCTTTTTTCCATTTTTTCCTATTTACACCATATCTACTCTAATATTTAAATTTTCAAATCATTTTTAATTACTATATCCCAAGGAAATTTTGGTATGCTTCTGTCACTTACCTTCTAGGCAAACAATTCTACCTCTTCTAACAGGTGCATCCTTGTATCAATTTTTTTTTATATGACCATACTACCCAAGTCTACTTTCTCTAATTTTATCATTAATAAGCACTATTCCTAGGTTTCTCCTTACTCATACTTTACTATTCCTAGGTTTCTCCTTACTCATACTTTAAAATATAATGGCATAAAATAAGTCCTAGATCTGTGTAATGTTTTCTTATTTAACCATAATATTGTGAAGTATCCGTTAAAGGGATGCCAATACAGTTTAGTCCTTTGCGCAACTCAGTTAACCACTATACTAACATAACTGGAATTGGGAAGAATAAGAAAGCAAGGATGAATTCTCATCAAAGAAAAAATGCTGAGAGGGAGGAAAACAGAAGAAATCCATTCGTACTAAGAAAATAATATCAAAGGTGGCATCTAATCTTTAAAAAATTGTTAGTGAGTTGTGACTCCTCCTAGCAAAGGTTCCTGCTTCTAAAATTTCAAAATCTAGAAATTGGAAGAAAAATAAAGGCCAATCCAGTTAGAAAGGTAAAAGCTCTTTTAATTAATATAAATAAAAAAGGGACAAAAATATCAGTAAACAAAGAAGTCTTGACAGATAATTCAATGTACAAAAAAGCATGAGAACTTTCTAAATAAAATAAAAATTTTAAAAGCATCAGGTTTTTGAAGTATTTAACATATTTATTATCACAGGATACTTAAATCAACTAAATAACGTACACACAAAACAATGAGAACTTTCAAAAAAAAAAAAAAAAAAAATATAAACATCAGTTTTTTTGAAGTATTGAACAAATTTATTATGACAAGATACTTAAATCAACAAAAAATAGCACTAGAGTAAGATAATTATATATAAAACAAAATCTCACGTGTATAAAATGCTCCATGTCCCCAAGTTCTTCTGGGTTTCCCCTTTCGGCTTTCTGCCCATTAAGAGGATAACTCTTTGGACAGCCGGTGTGAAATCCAAACTCCAAAGGTTCAAGTCAGAGTTCAAATTTCTATGACAAAAAATTCATGCATTACAGTCATGTTCTCACTCAGGCTCTCCACCATATTGTTTCGATCAATAATGACAAAAAAAGAAAAGAAAAAAACAAATAAACATATCAAAGTTTAATAAAAATATGTTCCTAAATTTAACAGACTCCCAAATTACTACTACCATGCCAAGAAAATATCAAGTTCTCTGAATGTCAATCCTTAAGTCATACATAGCAAGAGCAAATTTGAGAGCGGGAAAACAACGAAGTCCAAGGATTTCAAGAGCAGGGGCATCTCCGTAGCATGTGCATGTACTAACATAAATATATCTAATACATGCACAAAGACAAAATTTATACCAATTATTATTTAAATAACAATTTCTTTTTAAAACTTAAAAATAATAATGATGAATGTTTTTTTATAGAAACAAAAGGAAAACTGTATACCAATGTAAAAAGGAAAATTTAATGAATATAAAAGGGGTGCTATATATAACCAATATTGTATGGGATCTTTTGATATGCCCAAAAGGAAAAACACTTCTTGCAACTATGCTTGCCAATCACTCATTGATGTCTTGGACTCTTGGCACTTAACTATTGTTTTGGGCCCAGTACATTGATCAAGATGTAACGAGATGTCATTTTCATCAGAATTTATAGAGATACATACATTTATGTGTATATAAGAGAGGAAGGACCGAAACCACAAGGCAGATTTCCAGGACAACGACAGCAATGGTGGCAGATCCAACGATTTGACATATTGACACTATTCATGGTGTCAAGCATATGTTGTTGATGATTCTTCTTACTATATAAAACCTAGACTATTTCCACATATTCAATCTTATAGTAATAGTATTGAACTGAGAACAAATTTAGAGTGTTTGATGACTTTTAATCACAGCATCGTCAAAAAATTGTAATGGAAAGTCAATCAGAAAATCTGATATATGAGTTTACAAATTGCAGAAAATCAGTTTGCAGATTGTAGGTTGTTCTGTTCTTGATTCGCCGATATACTCTTGGAATGACAGAACGCTTGCCCCTTTTAATAGATCAGTTCACTATCAAAAATTGTTGTATAGTGTTATTTATCCACTGAAAAAAAAAAGTAGTAAAGGGTTGACAATTGTCAACATGCATATTCAACTAAAAAAAAAATTTGTCAACATGCACTGTATTCCATCAATGAGAAGGAACCAACAACTAGGTTCATATTAAAAATACCACTGAATCAAAAACCTTTTTTTCTTTTTTTTAATAAGTACCATTGAATCAAAAACTTAAAAAGACACTACATAAAATTTAACATATGCTGTGACTAACTTAAACATCATGAGGTAGACAAATTATCTTCAATGGAGAAATAATACTGTGAACAAATAGTGTGGAATAAGAAAGGTCTACATGTCTTACCATCATCTGCATTATTTGAAGCATCATGGTTTAAGGAAACTGAACTTTGGCTTCCTGAAAAAGCAATTAGAAAATACACCATGACTTTCGAATTTTCATTAATCTTTATTAAAAAAAGTTAAAATCCAATTGTAATTCTGAATAAAACTGGATAGTAGTAGACTGGTATTAAAGCTCCAACAAAGTTAGATTTATGAACCTCAATTTGCTCCTATAATTGTTATTCTACAAATCAAAATGTCTATCCAGTATATTTATAATTAACATTCATGCACCACTCTTACGAAGAGTCTGTTGTCGAGCGTATAGAGAGAATTCGACGGAATTTCCTTTGGGGCCCGGGGGGGGGGGGGGGGGGGGGGGGGGGAAGAGTTCAAGTATTATCTTGTTCGTTGGGAGCAGGAATGTAGGCCTATTCAGTTGAGCAGTTTGGGTATTATGAGGTTGATCCCTTTCAACAGGGTTCTCCTAAGCAAGTGGTTGTGGAGATTCGAAGGCGAAAGACACCGGCTGTGGCGATCATCCGTTGTCCCGTTCTTTTCCCAGGCTTTTCAGGATTGTTGTCGATAGACATGCCTTGGTTGCCGACTATTATTGGCTTGATAGTGGTAGGATTACATGGGATGTGCGTTTTTGGTGACATTTCCAAGATTGGGAAATGGACGATGTTTGCGGTCTTTTGGATCTTTTGTATAGACAGGAGTTGGATGGTAGCAACCCTGATTACATTTTTTTGGGTGCTCTCTCCTCATGGGGGGCTTGAGGTCCATTCCTTGTTGTATTGTCTTTCTGACTTCTATGGTTCTAGTTACCCTTGAAAGTCGGTTTGGTGTTCGAAGGCTCTTCTCAAAGTAGCCTTTTTCATTTGGACTGCAGTTTGGGGAAATATTTTGATGATGGCTAATCTGAGAAGGAGAAGACAGGTTACTGTCAATTGGTATTGCATGTGCAAGAGGGATGGAGAGTCGGTGGATCGCCTCCTCTTGCATTGCCCAGTGGTTCACAACTGTTTGAGTCTTATTTTTGGTTTGTTCGGCGTCCAATGGGTTACGCCCGGGTCTTCGAGGGATTTGATTGACGCTTGGACAGGTTGTTGTGTGGGAGCCCACGCTCATGATTTTTGGAGGGCGACCCCCTTTGTGTTTGGTAGTGTGTTTGGAAGGAAACAAATAGAAGATATTTTGACGGGAAGGAATCTTCCATTGAGGTTTTGAAATTTCTTATCATTAGTAATCTCTTTAGTATGTCATAGGGAGAAATTGTAAATCTATAGAGGCGATTGTAGATTTTTTGGGTTCCATGGGTCCTTAGGAACCTTTCTTTGGCTTTGGGCCTTGTATAGTTTCCGGGATGCGTTCCCCATCTGAACGCTTTCTAATGTACTTTTCCTTATCACAAAAATAAAATAAATAACATTCATGCACATATAAGACAATAAATCTTCAACCTATTCATCTTATGATGCAACAAAAATAAATATTTTACTACCTCAGATTTTAAAAATAAAAATAATAATAATTAAAAATCTTCATCCAAATCAGATGCATCCCAGCATCATTCAAGAACACAAAACACATTTAGGGACTACAGTACTTTTGGGGGGGCCCCTTATATATTTATTTTTAAGTACCACAAGTGTACAGAGGGACATATTAAAGCCACTCATATTCAACCATAAAACTTGCATACACACTTGAACCTGAAAGTGAATATACCTACCAAATGAAAAGGGTGTTTGACCATTAAAGAGAACTCCAGAGCTCCATGAGGTTGCAAAAGATGCGGTGGTACCAGATGGAGCAATTCCAATTTTCTCCTGTGATACTTTCACCTCGTTATCCCTATTTTCAGACACAAGTTGCTTTTGAGGAGCATGAGATCCGACAGCAGAGAAACTTTCTCCATTTACAGCATTTGATTTAAGCCATTTAACAACATCACTAAATTTCTCCTGCAACGAAAGGGTGAATGGAGGTAAGCAAAAAGGCACTATTTTTTACTAAGTTCACAAGTAAATTGCAACTTCACTTGACATCAAACAGCAGTGCAATAAAAATCCACAATAAAGGACAAACTTGACAATGTGGAATATGGCTTATAGAAAATCTAACTAAGCATATACATGGTATACAAGTACTTATTAAAACTTCCAAATTTTGTAAGGACAGTTGAAATTTTTACCATAATGTTTGAGGCATGAGCTAGGTAGTCCTGGACTCCATCTTCCCAAAGTTCATCAGGGTGATTCTGTAGCTGTGATTGGATCCAACTGTTTACAATAAGAAACACCAATTCTTAACATGGGAATGATACAAATTTATGCTACCAGACGCAATCTAGGAAAGTTAGGTCACTATTAAATGAAAAAACTTATGCCAATTATGCAATATATTTTATAAAACACCTCCAATTTATTTATTTCTTTTTCTACCTGTGATGTGATATAAAACTTTCTTTAAGGATCTTGAATAGAAAGAGAAGATCACCTCAAAGGAAAAAAGCCAAGAAGACACGAAAAAGAATCAACGAAGCACTTTTCAAGGAATAAATAGACAACATTTATGACATTCTTCACAATATTGAAAACACTTTTACCATAAACAGAATAAATTACAACTAACCAAATCAATTAGTTACTATCAACAAAAAATATTAGTTATATGCTACACGATAAAAGCAAAGCTGTTGAAATAGAAAAAAAGAGAGACCTTGCAAATTGGATATTGAGAGCTCTCACATGCTGTCTAGATGATTCAGCCCGGCGCATATCCAACGGTGGTGTCGCCATTAATTGCTGCTGAAATGGTTCTGCCCTGTTAACACCGAAATAGGATGCCCCCATTATTCTTTTAGTCTGTGCATCATAACAGGGGAAAAGAAGAAAATTATTAAGTATTAACGGAAAAGCTGGCAAGTTAAACACACATATGATAAGAAAAACATATATTATTTCATCTGTCAAAACTTTACATCTGCCTTTTATTGTCTTAGAACTTGGTTATTAACAAAACCACGCAGAATGTTTTCAACCTTATTCACAATGGACAAACGTTCTCCTTAATTTAAAATCATGAGTATAGTTTTGGAAATGGAAACTATTAACGATGTAAGAGAAAATGCCCCAATCAAATAATTTTTTCCTTCAGGTTAGGGTTGAGGATTCCTCAACTACTTGGGATCAAGTAATCCCCCATAATTCAAAACAACATTAGTATTTCTTGAGTTTAGTTCTAAACTTTGGGTTGGGATTGCAATCAATACGCAGTTTGGGGTTTGTAGTGAGTGTATAAAGTCAAGGTTATAACTTGTGGACTAAAACGCAAATGTGGGTATAGTAGGAGTTCAGGTAAAAGGCACATATTTCACAACGTTCTATATGGGTGAACTCTAGTTCCTCCACATTGTAATATCTACTTTAAGGGTAGGATATCTACTTGTCAAATTGGCCAATGGATAAATCCCAACTTAGATTACCGCTTAAGCTGCTTCTGTCATTATTGAGGTCACAATTCACTACTCTTCTGCATTTTCCTCACTTTATTCATAGCCAAGGTTTTCAAATTTAACATAAGAACCAGGACAGAGAAACTAAGGTAGCATTTGAAAAGTACTTCAATAACCTTGCAATAAAACGAAGCTTTCATTTTCACTCAAAAGCAAGAATCTTAGTTTCAAAAATGCTAACCATACCAAAATAATTGATTTCCAGCAACTACACCAAAATAATCAGAAATCATTGATTTCCAGCAACTAAATTGATGGCAGCAAGGTTTCTTGGTAATAATTCAAAGAACGAAGGGGGAATCTACAACACCACCAGCAAGAATGACACAACACCTAAATCTTTAAAATCAATCAATTAACGAACATAATATGGAAATCTCTGTACAAAAATGCACACACACACTTGACGTTAAATGAAAAATGTGAACTTTAATATGATAAAACAGGAACACAGTGAGAAACAAATTAGGTTTTTAGAGAGAGAACCAAGCAGGAACTTACAATCGATTCGTCTGTGTTGGGATTCGAGTCCGATACCGCTAAACGTTTCGCTCCTTTCATTGTTTTGATTTGATTCTGTGCAAAATTTGTAGCGATTCGGCGGAGATTAAACGAATAATGAATGAGTACTTCAAAATCTTTTGGTTCGTTGATCGTTCTGTCCCAGTCTAGGGCTTTTTTTTTTTATTTTTTTTTTATTTTTTCTGTTAATGGAGAGTTTAATTGTAATGGAGTCATCATGGCCGTTAAAATCAGGTGGGGTACTAACTTTCAATTGGAACCGTTGATTGGAGTTGAGAGCAACGGCATTAACACATGGGCCACGTGCTGGTACTGTTATAGTGTTATCCCTCCATTATGGGCCCCACCACCCAACACTTAATGGATCGGACTGCGTCCGATTTTTTAATGAATTTATACTGGGCCACTATTTTTCCGCTTGGGCCCATGTTGATTCGCTTGTTTATTTGTTCCTGTGCGTACAAAAAATGCTCAAGAGTGAAGGCCAAAGCATATTCCATTTCAGCACGATTATTATATCGTCCAGACCTCATACTTCACATATACTAAAACCTAAGATACAACCCAATACCATGTGCTCGAAGTCAAGTGATCACCTTAACAATATATATATAATATATATATATATAATAATCCGGGCATTCGGGGCTTTACCCGATTAATCCGAACCCATGAAAGACGTCCCTATACGGATCGGGTAAAGCTAGACTATGTCTGCGGACGTGACCCTAAAAAATTATTTATGCGTAGGAAGAATCAATGTTGTGCTGAGACATTATACTTCAAGAGACACCGAGCCCAAATCTCTTCCGATAAGGCCAATGGAATAGACCACATGCTCAAAGTGATAAGCCCATGTATAATAATTCCTTTCTCAGGAAACTCATGCAGTACAAGTTTACAACCTTTAGTGGTATTTCATTGCTTTGTTTTGTTTTGAAAAATAAGTAAAAAACACTGGGAGATAAATTTCACATTGAGTTCATATGACTAGATATACAAAAGAGCTTATACAGTAAATTACTTGTAAGGGGGTTTTTTTTTTTTTTTTTTTTCAGGTAAGGTACTTGTTTCCTAAAAGATGTCAAAGATAAAGAAACTATTTAAAATTTTATAATCTAAAATTTTTGGTATCACACGATCTCTTTCTACTACTTCCATCTGGTATATAAGCATGTGCATAATTAGAATATGAAATCTAACTCATAAATCACAATTGATGTGTTCCGTGATTATTTAGAAAACCATTTAATCCATAGGCAAGCTTCTTGTCAACTAATAACTATGTTTGTCCCAATGTACACAACAATTTTTTAATAAAGCAACAATAATCATCATTGCTTCTACAGACTTCCAAAATTTTCCAAAATCATTCTAGAAACATTCACTAGAAGAGGCCGCCGGCATGACTGGGGAAAAGGGAATTAGGAGAAGATGGACAAAAATTGAGAGAGAGGGAGGGAAAAACACACACACACACACACAAAAGAGAACAGGAGGCATTTTCTGAACCATAAGATCAAGCATAACTGATCAATATCAGAGAGAAAAAAAAAATAATCGAGATGATTCAGTAAAAACCAGAGCTGGTCCACTAAAATCTCAAAATCTCCCTACTTTTATACTAAGAAAAAGGAAAAGGAGAACAAAACATTCTCCCGTAGTCATTCTAATTGCCTCTGGTGGCTGGCACTCATGATAAAAACAAGAGTTGTCCCAATACTCTAAGTTGAATGATCATCTAGGATGAGAAGAGATCAATCAGAAGCTCATCAATCAGAGAAGCAAAAACTTGATCCTCCAACCCCAAAGCCACCTCTTCTTTGTCTTCATCCAACATTCTCCACCTCCCTTCCTCCTCCATATCTCTAATACATGCTTGCCTGTTCTTCTGCACCTCCCATTCAAGCAACAATTCGCGGGGCTGCCCATTAATCCAATCATTCGCTACATTTACCTGCTCGTACTCAAATTGCTCACCGCCTTTTCCCACATTGGAGCGTGCATGAGTTGCAGTTAATGACTCTCTGAAGAAATCCAACAACAGATTGTCTGCATTAAACTTGAAGCTGTTTGATGGGATTGTCATTTTCAGAAGATTAAGGAACTCTAGCGCCTTTTCTGTTTTGCTTTCCTCTTCTTCTTTGTCCGCCGTGATGTTGTATTGGACCGACACTGAGCAAGGCTGCATTGGGGATTCAAGCGATTCGTCATTGGATTCTGACAATGCAATCCGTTTTTCTAAGTCCACTGGTTCCAGTTGAGCAAGGCTTTCAAACCGTCGGATCTTCTGCATGAGCTTTTGTTTAGTTCCTGTTCATCAAACACCATTTTTTTTTGGTCAGTGACAGTTGGATATTGGTGCATATATAATTGCACCCTTACGTACAAATTTGAACTTCGAATTCTATTCTATAATTAAGTTCAGCTAATCACAATTCAATATTAGACAAAAAAATAAACTGAAGAAATAGCAATTTAATACTGCTTTATGCCTTGATTATGGGCCTCAGTAGCAGAGGGCAGCTGAGTCCTTAAATCAAGAAATTGGTTCTCTTAGCAGCGTTGAGTACGTATGGCTTTTATTTTGATGTCTATATAGAGAGAGATACCTTCCATGCGGGCGAGCCTACTTTGGAATGGTGAGGATGCCTCTTCTTCTTCGTCAAATGGAAAATCCAGTACGGACACCGGACTAAATTGTTCCTTCTCCTCCTCATTTGACCACTCTTTCTGCTATGATTCATCAAGTTAATGCGAAGTCACAGAAATCACTACCAAGGAAAGGATTACAAATAAAGGAGAAAAAGAAATAGAATGAAGTCAGGGGTATACGCATGGCTTAAACTTTAGGTACCCGACGAATCAACAACTCAAAATTTAAGTTATTAAATGATACTATCTATTCACCCTCAAAATTTCAAAATCATTATCACTCCACTACAAAAATATAAAATTATTGCTTTTGTGATTGAATGTTGAATTTTCATTTTGCTGATCTTAAAAATAATAATAAATAAATAAATTCAATTGCATTTGGATTGTGGGTCGAGTATGGTTGGGGCTGAGGTACATGCCCACTTGCAATGCTACAAAACAAACAACTTAATTTTTTTGTGCACACATACTAGCTCACTCTTTTGGTACCTACCCTATATTCAATTCTGGTGGAAAAAGAAATGAGTAAATAAATCAGCATGCAATTGTATGGTATGGTGACAGTATGAGTGATGGTACTACGTTGAAAAATTACCATTTACCAATAAAATAGCATGATGGTCAAACTTGTTACGAGTAGTTGAACTAACACAACTATGTTTCTATAATGAGTAAAAGACAAACTACTCGAGCCTAAGAGAACTAAAATCCAAGAACCAGCTTAGACATGTCATGGTCAACCCACTACTTGACAAGAAAAAAACATCTGTCTAGCCCATTTAATTAATAATTTTTCCAAGCAACACAACAAACCCACCAATAATATAACCCAAAAACACCTTCCGTTGCCGACAATATTTCAATCACTTAAATAAAAGCAATGAAAGTATCGTCACACACACTGACACGGTCAATTCTCAGCATCAGCGTTAGTTGTTTACTACTACGATACTTATCTAACACTCCGAGTTTCGACGCCGTAGATCCCGCAAATAGACAACGCGTAGCGGGATCGATGGCCTCGAAACACTCAATGGCATTTTAATTTCGTGGTCCTAGACGTACTCTATAGTTCCCAAGATATACCCCACACGTGAAATTCATTAAACCCCAGAGCTCCAGCTGTGTTTTTTTTTTTTTTTTAACCGTCCCTCCTGCCGTGAAAATCAAATTTTCAAAAAATAAAATATTCTAATTAAATATTTAAATAAGCAAAGATGAAGAATGATGAATGAACAGTGGAGATCTAATCTTGAATTTAAACAAATGAATCAGAGACGCTAATAATATAATTGTAGGTGCGAAGTATTTAAAAAAACTCTCACCTTTGTGTTTTCCACGGAGTTGGTGGTGTTTGTTACGCCTACTCTCTTGCTGACTACCTTTTCCGGTGAGAGATTTCTGCTCTCTACGCCGTCGTTTACGCCTGAATTCACTGAATTACCGCTTGAGCACAGTAAATAATCAGTTGTAAAATCACTATCTGACCAACTGTTATTGTTAGTATTGCTTTCACTAACTGAAGTACTGCTTGTGGTGGCGGCGGCGGCGGCGGCTTTGGTGGTTACGGTGGTGATGGAGGGAGAGAAATCAACCGGTTTCTCTTTCTCTTGGAGTAATTCACGGAGAGATCTCCACCGTTGGATCTCTTTATCGGTTTTCTTCCAGAAGCTTCGCTTCAACAGCTTCCGAGAGAGGCTCCTCGGCAAAATGGCCTTCTTAGGATTGTTCGGTTTCGAAGACGACGGAGGCTTGACGGCGGCGAACGGGAGGTTCTTGACGGAGTTAATTACAGCCTCCGAAGCTCTCAGTAACTTCGACATTGTCGACGACGCCGATTTGGACTTGCTCCTGAGAAGCCGTTTTGCATGATCGGAGGAGTCTCTGTCGACTCTGCTCTTGAGATCAATCTCCAGAAGGAATCGGACGGTTGTGCAGCACTGTCGCCGCGGATACGATCGGAAGCCGTTGGATGAACACGAGCTAAGATCATCCAACAGATAATCCTTCAACATCAGAGCCTTCGGTAATGGCTTCCTCTGTTTCTCATCACGAGAATTCAACGAAGTCATCTCTCTCAAAATTTGAACTCACAAAAGTATACAACTAGGGTTTTGAAATATTGAGATTGAGAATGGAAATGAAAATGGAAAAGTAGAGCAATAATGAATTAAAGAGAGATTGTAGAGAATGCAAGAGACAGAAAGAGCTAAAAGGCTGACCAGCATTGACAAAGAGCATTTAAGTTAAAAGGCTTCCATTAAATTTGACAGAAAGCCAACCGGCAGCTTTAGTGCTGAGTTTTAGAGAGAGAAAGTAGAGAGAGAGTGAGTGAGGGGATTTAAAGGGAGGGAGAAGGGGTTGATGGTGAAAGTGAGAGGTAGGTTCGGGAAGGTGAAGATCTCAAGGTGAAGAGGATGGCATTGGCTGGCTATGGAGATCGAAGAGTGATCAGAGAGGTAGAGACTGGGATGCTTCTTCTAATGGTTTTTTTTGAATCTCAAGTTTGATTAGTTTATTGGGTAATTTGATTTTGGTTCAGTTTAAACAGTTTTAATTATAGTTTTTAACAAATCACACGTACGATTTTGTTGGCAAATCGAATCTCGGCCGTTAGACTCCAAAGTGACTAGTGGTTGACCTTCTCAACTAAATATATATGTGTATCCCACGCGCTACTGATTTCACGCGTTTAATTACACCTCTGGCAATCATGCAACACTGTGGTTAGCAATTACTTTGGTCCCACCTTTTACGCTGATATGTTGTTTTCATCCGTTTGATTAGGTTCACAGTACGAAAAATAGTTGTACCTATAACCCCAGTCGTTTGATTCTCTTTGAGTGAATCAAATGCACTGCACTTCAGGTGCTGTATCGCATCCTACGGTCACAACACTTACACTCTGTGATCATGCACACACATGACTAATGCAGTACTGTATTGTGCAGAATCAAGTTTTAAAATTTTAAAATTGAAAAAGATATATGTCACATTAAATGTTTTTATGCCCTTATCTGATTTAATAATATTTTAATTATCAAATTAAAAGATTTTATTACCCTCATCATTTTCTTCCCATAATATACCATATTATCTTTGTCTTACTACAAGTAAAAACATCATTTTAATCTTCGGCTCTCTGTTTCTCTTTCCTCTCTCCTCCTCCCATCCGCAACAATTTTCCCTCACCCTCGGCAACTTCTTCCACCGCCATCTCCTCCCACAGCCGACAACTTCTTTAATGTTAATTTATTTAAATATAATAAATTAGTAAATAAAATATTTTGTAAATTATTTCACATTAAATTAGCACAAACACTTGCATTATATCCATATATATGGAATTCTTGTAGTTTGCATAGAATTATAAGGTCATTAATGTCTTTTTAGCATAGCATAAGGGCAATTTAGGTATTATATAAATAATTCTTGAGTGACGGGGAGGTCATTGAGCACTCGCACTAGACCTCAAGGAAGAAGGTCAAAATAATAAACATGATACGCTTTAACTCTATGTAATTTGACAAAGCTTTAGAAAAAATCAGTACAGTTTACCCTATAACTCTATGTAATTTGACAAAGCTTTAGAAAAAATCAGTACAATTTACCTTATTTATTTAACTATCAACAATAATGCACACAAGTGTCCAAATATATGTCTCACATCAATACATGTATCAGGTTAAATCACACAATCATTCTTGATAGGTGTCGCTTTTACGCTCGTACTACACTCTCGCTAAGGGCGGATCTAAGAATTGTCAACGGGGTGATCTAATATTTTTTTGGGTGAGCTAATGCTATTAATAATTTTTTTTTTCCCATCCCCTAAATACGCCCTTGGCCCTCACTCACGTTCCGCGTATGTTTTTACTTTCGTTTATATTATTTATGATTTAATTTTACCGATTTTATGCTCCCGCTCTTGAATTGATTTTTACTCCCGCTCTCGCTTTATGTAATTTAGGTATCAGCCATGCAAATTTAAAACAAGAGGTTAATTTGGATGTTACAAATTAAATAGTAAGTAGTAAATTGAATAAATTGAGTTTTTTTATTTTTATGTTTTTATTACAATAAATTGAGTTCACGTGTTATAAAACAAATCTCAATGGAGGTACGTAGCATTATTATTATGGGATGACTACAAAAGAGTGAGGCTTTATCTGTGCGTGGTTGAGAATGGATGTTAATCTGTAGTATAACGGTTTGATATTAAAGAATAATGGGATTAAAACATAAATTATAAAAAAATGGGGGGACTTGACCTTTATGTGGAGAAGTGCAAGCGTGGATGAATATGATGATTTCTAGTCGCGCTGAAAAAGGCAAAAGCAAACTTTCGATGTTCCCCTCAGTGAGTACACTTGCAATTATGCAAATATATATGCCAAGATCACGAAATTTTGAAAATTATAATGCAGACTAACTTATAATATATATATTTTTTCCTCACTAACTTGTAACATAATATAGGGTAAAGTAGAAAAAAATTTCTTAAACTATTATACTTTTGTAAATAATTCCCCTTAACTACAAATTGTTCTCTTGAATTATTAATTTATTACAATTAAGGACGAATTCATTACAAAAGACCACTTTACTCTTTCTCATTAAATTTGTGACTTCTTATTAAATTATTTTTATTATCTTTTCTTTTATCAAAATATTAATTATACCATTTATCTGAATTTTATTATTACTATCAATTTATCATAAAATTGAAAATAATAAATAAAAATATTTGTAAGTACAATTTTATAAAATGATTAAGTTATAATTAAAACCTTATTATTTATAATAAAACTTATTATACTCAGTTCAAACTTTTTAACCATAAAAGTACATTCTTTTTCTTGCAATAGATTTATGAAAAATTAATAAATTACTTAAATACAAAATACATTCTTTTTTTATGCAATATATTCATGAAAAATTAAGAAATTACTTAAATTGTTTTAAAAAAAATTTACTTGATATTTTTATTAAAAAAATTAAAGGTAAGTTTATGCAAATTTGGTGAAGAATATGTCATCAGATTAATATGAATTTTTTCCATAATTTATTTCAATAAGAAAAATAAATCAAGTATAATTCAATAGAAAGGGCGTTATGGTCATTTAATAAAATATAGTCAAGGCATTAGAGCATTTTGCAACTAAATGTGCACAAAATATACTTTAAAAAAGTTATTTGCAAATTCTGACATAGTTTATGGATTTTTTTTTTGCCCTTTACTATAATATATTAGTTTTCAAATTATATAGCAATTATAACTGAACCTCTTTGAGGTTTTTATATTCCAAGCCTTGTGAAGTAGAATTTAGATATATTATAAGATGTTAATATGGTTGATGTTTGATCAAATAATATTACCCTTAAAAATTGAGTGTAAAATGAGTGTGTAAATGGGATTGAAATGGGTATAATTGGATAAAAAATGGTGTCTTTTGTTTCATGCTACAATTGACATTAGGTTGTATTCTGGCGACTCTTTTGACACGTGATAGTCAAATAGTATCTTATTATCTATTTAACATATTTAATCATTAAACCATTCGTAGTCGAGTGAGTCCTAAAGTTAGACACATCAATTATATTTATATTTAGGGATAATTACACTAATCTTTATTTAGATTTTGTCAACTTATACTGACCTCCCCTCTTATTTGTCATATTACACTCACCTCTTGTTTTATGTGTAGCTGTGCGTCTCAATTGGCTGATTCACTCACTTGTTCCTATCATTCTGTTATATCTGTGTCATGTGGTTTGAAATAACTTAGTTCGTCTTATTGGTTTGTTCCGGGTTTGAGGAGGGATGGAACAAGGATTGGGAAGAGGGTGATAGTGATGCATGATTTCTTGTTTTATGGATTCATTAACATCCCACTGCTCACACCCCGAACAAACCAACAAGACGAAGCATCTAATTTAAAATTTCTTGAAATCAAAACCTGAATGTATCGATGGACTCTTTGATGCAAAATCCTTCACTGTATTATGGCATAATTGGTCTCAGTACAAGAGGATTTTTCTGTTATTGATGGTGATGGAAAATGAGCCTTTGCCCTGTCCATCATCAACACTGTCATGGGGGATCGATCATCATAGATCGGATTCGGCTGAAATTGATTTTGATTTTGTCTTCGCTTTTGAAATTATGTGTCATGTTATTTGCAATTTGATTTTGAGTTTGTGATTGTTGTTCTTGTTTTTACCATTATGCCCATCACAATCTATAGTATTGTATTTATTTATAGTGAATAAATAGTATTGTAATTTAAAACTTATGTAATAGAACCACTTGTCTTCCCTAGCACCCTCTTTCGCCTATTTTTGGAGTGACGGAAATTTATAAAATAGGAAGGATAATCTGCCAACATATGGTACATGTTAGAAAGTGCTTGCATGAATGGTAATACATTATAATAGCGTAGAAGTAAATTTTATGTGGATATGTTAGGTTATATATGTGATGTTGTATTTATGAAAGTGTTGAAATATGTTGCCCCATTAATTGAAAACACTGTTTCCCATTAATTGAAAACACTGTTTCTGACAGAAAATGATGATGTCAGTTATTTTTTATTGGGAAAATTACATATAAATGGAGTCAAAGTTCCATATTTACTTAGAGGCTGAGTCAAAGTTCCATATTTCTCTAAAATGGATTGCTGAGGTGGCACATGGTTTTTTACTGTTTAGAAATTGTGGTGCTTAAAATACCCTTCCGCGAAAGTACTACCTTTTCTTCGAAGGTACTACTTTTTTGAACTGAAGGTACTACTTTTTGGCGTCCAGGTACCCTGTTTTTAAAACACCTGCGAAGATACTATTTTTTCTCCGAATGTACTACTTTTTTAAACTGAAGGTACTACTTTTTTGAACGGAAGGTACTACTTTTTTGTTTGGGAAGGGCATTTTAGGCACCACAATTTTTTAAACAGTAAAAAACCATGTGCCACCTCAGCAATCCATTTTAGAGAAATATGGAACTTTCAACTTTGACTCCATTTATATGTAATTTTTCCTTTTTTATTTATCAAATTCCCATTCTACCCTTGTGAGCTACAGTTTGTATCATCTTCACCTAAACCGATCGACGAGCTTCAGTTTGGGCTCACCATTCCGGTGAACCTCCGAGACACATCGTCCAAGTAGCAGCGTAGCTTGAATGAACCAATCAGCCACCAAATCGGCAAGAACACTCCTCGGTGTGAAACCCAGTTCGGCGAACAAACTGCAACTCCGGTGACAACAAAATCGTTGTCTCTTGAGACCTTCCTTCGTTTCGGTGACAGCAAAACCCAGTTCGGACTGAACCACATCAGAACCACAAATTTGTAGACAAAGAAATATAGACCCAGAGAGAGAGCGCTTAGCTTTTGATAAGGGCAACAATGGTTGCTGGGAAGGTAAAACTAGCAATGGGCAGTCTGTGATGGTGCCGGGACGCTTCATCGTGAAAGGGTGTTGAAGGTTGGCCTGAGCTTAAGACGATGCT